AAATGAATATGGACTAAAGTAAGTCGGATGTTTAGTTTTGACCCCTTTCTAAATATCTCTTCAAGTATCTGGCTAAACCCAAAATGATGTATTGGTAAACCCCCCCTTCATTGGAAGGTATGGCTAGAAAGTGGCATGGTAACTTTAGGAGATCTATATAGTAATGGTTCCCTAAAATCTTTTGAAGAATTGGTGCAACAATTTAAAATTCCCAGGTCTCAATTTTTTAGATATCTGCAACTCCGTCATCTGTTAGTAGGGGTCTTTGGATCCAGCTTGTCAGCTCCCAAAACTGCAGAGCTCCTGGATAAGTTACTGAAGAGTTATGGAAAAGGCCATGAGGCATCTGTCTATTACACCATGATGATGAAGACGCTAGGTAATGGTGCTCTATCAGCTCTGAAGAAGACATGGGAAAAGGATCTGAATCTTACATTGGATGACAGGGAATGGGATATGATTTGTAAAAGTGTTAAAACAGTGTCGAGGGATACAAGGGTACGCCTCATCCAATTTAAGATTATACAACGCTTTTACTGGACACCCTCCAGATTGTATAGACTGGGACTAAAAGCCACATGTACTCATATACCTCGAGACACCGGACGAGGTGGTGGAGTAGCAGCTATTTTTAATTCTGGTCTTCTAGTTAACCCTCGACCAAAGCTGAATTTTTCTTCTTTTGAAAGCCTTGTTCTTAGTCTTTCACATCCAGTCTCAAGAACCTTTCAGCCAGTTCTAGTTGTTGTAGTTTACTGCCCTCCTGGCCCATATTCTGAGTTTCTATCTGAATTTGCAAAATTTTCTCTGTGCTCGTCTTGTTAGATCTTAGTGCTGCTTTTGACACCATTGACCATCGGATCCTATTGTACAGACTGGAGCATTTGCTTGGAATTACAGGGACTGCTTTAAATTGGTTTTAATCCTACTTCTCAGACCGATCTCAGTTTGTACATGTTAATGATGAGTCCTCTATGCACACCAAAGTTTGCCATGGAGTCCCACAAGGTTCAGTGCATGGACCAATTCTCTTTACATTATATATGCTTCCTCTGGGAAATATTATGAGGAAACACTCCATACAGTTTCATTGTTATGTAGATGATACTCAGCTTTATGTATCAATGAAGCCCGATGGCACCAGTCAATTATGTCAGCTAGAAACGTGCCTTAAGGATGTTAGGACCTGGATGACCAGAAATGTTTTGCTACTTAACTCAGACAAGACTGAAGTTATTGTGCTAGGCCCTAAGAACCTCAGAGAGACTTTTTCTAGTGATTTGACTGTCCTTAATGACATCAGCCTGGCATCTAGCACCACTGTTAGGAATCTAGGAGTTCTATTTGATCAAGATATGTCCTTTAGCTCTCACATCAGTCAAGTTTCAAGAACAGCCTATTTTCACCTTCGTAATATATCCAAGATCAGGAATATCCTGTCGCAAAATGATGCAGAAAAACTAGTTCATGCATTTGTTCCCTCCAGACTGGATTATTGTAACTCTCTTTTGTCAGGGTGCTCTGGTAAGTCTCTAAAGACTCTTCAACTGGTCCAGAACGCTGCAGCTCGGAACTCGGAAAAGGGACCACATTACTCCTGTGTTGGCTTCTCTGCACTGGCTCCCTATACAGTCTAGAATAGAATTCAACATCCTTCTTCTCATTTACAAAGCTCTAAATGGCCAGGCACCATCTTATCTTAAGGAGCTACTAGTGCCGTACTGTCCCTCGAGAGCGTTGCGGTCCCGGAGTGCAGGCCTGCTAGTGGTACCTACAGTCTCTAAGTGTACTATGGGGGGTAAAGCCTTCAGTTATCGGGCTCCTCTCCTCTGGAACCGCCTTCCAGCCGGGGTCCAGGAGGCAGACACAGTCTGTATTTTTAAGAATAGACTTAAAACTTTCCTTTTTGATAAATCTTATAGTTAGGGCTGGTGTAGACCAGCTCTTAGTTATGCTGCTATAGGCTTAGACTACCGGGGGAACTGGCACCTTGAGCTCCTCTCTCTCTCTCTCTCTCTCTCTCTCTTTCTCTCTCTCTCTGTGCATCTACAGTACATCATATTACTGCATGTATCTATCTGTAAATCTCAGTCACTAACCACCTACTTTCCTGAGAGCTCTTGAGCGCTCTTAGGCTCCCCAGAACAACTCCCCCCCTGTTTCATCATGAGCCGGGAATCCGGCCGAAGATTTCTGCCTTTTAATAAGGCAGTTTTTTCTTACCACTGTTGGGCCTCAGCCATGTGCATGGGACGAGAGACTCAGGCCTGTATCACAGTTCTCAAGCCTGTCTAGAGTATTTTGGAGGGAACTGAACAAAGGGGTCTTAGCCCAGCAACCCCCCAACAGAAACCAACGAATAGGTGTGAAAAGTGGGGGGGGGGGTGTCTGAATTCTCTATCCTCATTGGAGGAGGCCTGAGGTAAACCCACAGGCAGCTCCAGTCTTTAAAAGCAATCACCTCGCATTGCTTCCTTCTCTTCAAGTGTGGTCTGCCGACACCAGAGGATACCCTCTCCATATGATGGACTCCAGCATTCGAGACAAAGCCTTTCCTCCTCTTGACTTACATAGGTTAAACTCCAGAGCTGAGGTTGCTCAGTATAGGTAGCTCTTCACATGCTGAATTCAAGCATCAGAGGATTCAGCTGACTACTTCCACGGCATATTTTTAGGAGTTTTGGGCGCAATCAGATGCTATCAGGTTCGAGCAAAAAGAAGAGTTTCTTTCCTTTGATTTTTCGTAAGACGTCATTGAACGCAACTGGACAGGAGCGCTGAAGAAAGCCCACTGATCCCTGAATCCACAAGGACACATAAAGAACTCGGCTCCTACAACCAGAAGACCCTATAGAGCAGCGCTCTGGTTGAAGATCTGAATCCTGCTACCCTCCTCCAACATCTGCCACAAAGGAAACCTGCCTGAATCTGTTGATTTAACATTCAACAGAGTGACGATCTAAACAACTTTGCAACGATGACCAGGAGTTACCCCAAGTAAGGCTTTAGTCTGGGCACAGAGTAGTTTAGGAAGGTTTCTTTTATAATCACTGATAATTATGCATCATTGTTGACGTCACATTCTGTTTATTATCTGTTGTAAGCTGCTGCATTTGTTTTATTGTAATGAACTGCTGTGTTCGTCTATGTGTTTAATGCTATGCTAGTTTACCTTCAGTCAACGGCTTTCACAATCAGAAAGACCAGTGTACCCGCCGTTGAATCAAAGTCCGGCCACTGGCTTTCTGGTGTTTAAGTAACAGTTACTGAACTCAGCTCAGAGAGCTCAAACTATTTCAAAAGGCAGCCACACGGCTTCCTTTGTTGTCCACCATTTTTGTCACCATGTGACGAAGCCACAGGGTTCTCTCTCTCTCTCTCTCTCTCTCTCTCTCTCTCTCTCTCTCTCTCACACACATCTACATACATACTCATCTGCACACACACACATTTACACCTCATCCACAAGCCTTGTTTGATAATGTTTGTTGTTTAGATTGGTTTATAATAGTTATTTGTTTGATTAAGTTCATTGATTTTGGATTGATGTTGCTTTGTTTAAATAAATTCTGTCATACTTTAAGAGAGCAGTTGTTTGTGGTTACTGGTGTATTTGCATTGTGATATAAGCTGGGTGCGAAGGCTTTGTGTACGGATTTCACGCCTTCAATTTATTAAATTTAGTTATTCATTATTAATAATATTAGTAATTAAATAACTAATTTGAGACTGATTTGAGTGATATTTTGGTTATATTTACCTGATTACAGGTTGGTGCCCCAAAACGAGATTAAACATAGTTTAATGATATTTTATTTATAGTATTAATAATTAAGTATAATTATTAAAGAATATAACCAAAGTTGACTTGATACAACCCGAACACCACTGTAACTTTTGCTGCTTCGCTAAAGTGCTCATGATGGATAGGCCGGATCTTTGTAACATAACAATGAGTAAGGTCTTTTACCTGCTCTTCTGTAATGTTAACAGACAAAGAGTAAGGTATTTTACCTGCTTTTTGTAAAGTGTCTTGAGATAACACTTGTTATGAGTTGATGCTATACAAAAATAAATTGAATTGTATTGAATCAAATTGTTGGCGATGCAAATCTGAGGAAGGTCATTTAGTTCACGTATTGTGGTCATGTGACAAAGTTCAACAATTCTGGACATGGCTATACAATAATATATGTGACATTGCAGAGACCCAAATTTCATTTACCCCCAGATTATTTATTCTAGGTGACCCATCTGTTCTGAGGGGATAAACACATTAAAAGTTGGGTCCAAATTAGCATTATGATAGGCAGGCAGATTCTTCTCAGGAGATGGAAGACTGAGGGAGTGCCATCAACGCAAGAATGGGTTGTAGAAATGGCGAAAGTAGCAGCATTTGAAAAAATGTCTTATAAACGACTTGGTAAATTAGATCTGTATTCTAGGAAGTGGGGCAATACAGTGAGTGGAGAGATGCAAATTCTGAGTGTTTGTGGACAATTGCGTACCAGTACAGTTTTTTTATTTTTTCTCTAGGGTTAGGGTTACCTAACCCTGGTTAGGGTTACCTAACCCTACCCCTAACCCTTTTTTGGGTTAGATTGTGTAGTTAAAGGTTTATTAGGGCTGAGTTCAGATGTTGCTTCTTTGATTATTTAATGAATATTATGTTTTGAACAGATCATTTTCAGTCCATTCCTCCAGTGTCTGGTAACATGAGACACCACATGAAGGGGGTTACATAGAGTCACTATATTCAAATGTTCAAGTGTCCTATAATATATAACATAGATCTATGTTATATAGATTTGAAAACAGTGTGAGAGCTTCAACACATCGTAATATCATAAAAAATAAAATGTCTTTTGACTGCTTCATTAGAATGTAACGTTTATTTATTTTTATTGTAAAAAATAATCTTGTAGTATGTTCTCGTTCTGTGTGCTACGTCATCAAGTGGTGACGCAGACAGTGGGCGTGGCTGCAGTGACCTCACCTGTCGCTCAGGTAGATTTCTGTGTAACAAAAAGCCACCAAACAGGAAGTGAGTCATCCAGTGTCTCGCTACGACCCGAGAAGAAAATCGTTCCCGCGGTTAGAACCCGAATTCTCTCTCTTTTAGACCTCTTTGACCCGGTCCGTTATGGTCCGGTTCAGTTCGAGTCTTTGGACGCTCTGCTTCCTGGTGTGTTCCGGTCTGGCTCTGGATTGTGACTGGGGCGTTGATCCGCATCAGGGTCTGGACATGGCCTACCTAGAACGAGGAGCGCTCCCCCTGGAAAAGGCCTGGAGGGACCTCGACCTGGACTCTTGCCGGACCGCGTGCTGTGCCGAGCCGGACTGTGACCTGGTCCAGGTGAGAGTCTCCGCGGAGGGGGTACCGCTGTGTCTGCTGGTCCGGTGTGTGATCGGGGACCGGGACGTGTGTGTCCTTCAGCCCAGCACCGATGACCGAGTCTACCGCAGGAACCGAACCAGGACCGGCACGGACCCGGACCAAGGGAAGAAGACTCACCTGAGACCGCTGATGGGACACCTTGAAACCTCCGCGACCACCGCGACCAATCACAGAACCGAGAGGAAGGAGGAGAGGAAGGAGGAGAGGAAGGAGGAGAGGAAGGAGGAGAGGAACGGTAAGAAAAGAAAAGTTATAAAAAATAAGACGATCTGTGTGACGTCATCTCCGAGACAATAAAGTGAAAGTTTTTATTTAATTTATTTAATTTAACGACCAATCAGAGCGATTACAAATCTGATTAACAACAACACACACACACACAGAGTTTAATATACACACACATACACACAGTTTAATATACACACACACACACACAGAGTTTAATATACACACACATACACACACACACACACACACAGTTTAATATACACACAGAGACACACACACACACACAGTTTAATATACACACAGAGACACACACACACACACACACACACACACAGTTTAATATACACACACATACACACACACACACACACACACAGTTTAATATACACACACATACACACACACACACACACACACAGTTTAATATACACACACACACACACACACACACACAGTTTAATATACACACACACACACACACACACACACACAGTTTAATATACACACACACACACACACAGTTTAATATACACAGAGACACACACACACACAGTTTAATATACACACACATACACACACACACACACACACACACACACAGTTTAATATACACACACACACACACAGTTTAATATACACACAGAGACACACACACACACAGTTTAATATACACACACACACACACACACACACACAGTTTAATATACACACAGAGACACACACACACACAGTTTAATATACACACACATACACACACACACACACACACACACACACAGTTTAATATACACACACACACACACAGTTTAATATACACACAGAGACACACACACACACACACACAGTTTAATATACACACACATACACACACACACACACACACAGTTTAATATACACACACATACACACACACACACAGTTTAATATACACACAGAGACACACACACACACACACACAATTTAATATACACACACATACACACACACACACAGTTTAATATACACACAGAGACACACACAGTTTAATATACACACAGAGACACACACACACACAGTTTAATATACACACAGAGACACACACACACACAGTTTAATATACACACATACACACAGTTTAATATACACACAGAGACATACACACACACACAGTTTAATATACACACAGAGACACACACACACACAGTTTAATATACACACACACACACAGTTTAATATACACACAGAGACATACACACACACACAGTTTAATATACACACAGAGACACACACACACACACAGTTTAATATACACACACATATACACACACACACACACACACACACACACACACAGTTTAATATACACACAGAGACACACACACACACAGTTTAATATACACACAGAGACACACACACACAGAGTTTAATATACACATACACACACACACAGTTTAATATACACACACACATACACACACACACAGTTTAATATACACACACATACACACACACACAGTTTAATATACACACACATACACACACACACACAGAGTTTAATATACACACACATACACACACACACAGTTTAATATACACACAGAGACACACACACACAGTTTAATATACACACACACATACACACACACAGACACACACAGTTTAATATACACACACACACACACACACACACACACACACAGAGTTTAATATACACACACATACACACACACAGTTTAATATACACACACATACACACACACACACACACATACACACACACACACACACACAGTTTAATATACACACACATACACACACACAGTTTAATATACACACAGAGACACACACACACACAGTTTAATATACACACAGAGACACACACACACACACAGTTTAATATACACACACATACACACACACACACAGTTTAATATACACACACACACACACACAGTTTAATATACACACACATACACACACACACACACACACACAGTTTAATATACACACAGAGACACACACACACACACACACACACACACAGTTTAATATACACACACTCACACAGTTTAATATACACACAGAGACACACACACACACACACACACACACACACACACACACACAGTTTAATATACACACAGAGACACACACACACACACACACACACACACAGTTTAATATACACACAGAGAGACACACACACACACACACAGTTTAATATACACACAGAGACACACACACACACACACAGTTTAATATACACACAGAGACACACACACACACACAGTTTAATATACACACAGAGACACACACACACACACACACACACAGTTTAATATACACACGGAGAGAGACACACACACACACATATACACACAGAGACAGGCAGGTGAGACAGGAGAGGAATGCTGCTGTTCTGGTTGGATCAGGCGACACACCTGTTCAGGTAAACAATCAGCTTTGTGTTTGCTGTTATGACTCTCTGAGAACAAAATGGCGTTTATTCACATCAACAGTCAACATCTGAACACCTGTTCAGTCTCTCACCTGTTGTTCAGCCTCTCACCTGTTCAGTCTCTCACCTGTTGTTCAGTCTCTCACCTGTTCAATCTCACACCTGTTGTTCAGTCTCTCCCCTGTTGTTCAGCCTCTCACCTGTTCAGTCTCTCACCTGTTGTTCAGTCTCTCACCTGTTCAATCTCACACCTGTTGTTCAGTCTCTCACCTGTTGTTCAGCCTCTCACCTGTTGTTCAGTCTCTCCCCTGTTCAGTCTCTCACCTGTTCAGTCTCACCTGTTGTTCAGTCTCTCCCCTGTTCAGTCTCTCCCCTGTTCAGTCTCTCACCTGTTCAGTCTCTCCCCTGTTCAGTCTCACCTGTTGTTCAGTCTCTCCCCTGTTCAGTCTCTCCCCTGTTCAGTCTCTCCCCTGTTCAGTCTCTCCCCTGTTCAGTCTCACCTGTTGTTCAGTCTCTCCCCTGTTCAGTCTCACCTGTTGTTCAGTCTCTCCCCTGTTCAGTCTCTCCCCTGTTCAGTCTCACCTGTTGTTCAGTCTCTCCCCTGTTCAGTCTCACCTGTTGTTCAGTCTCTCCCCTGTTCAGTCTCTCACCTGTTCAGTCTCACCTGTTGTTCAGTCTCTCCCCTGTTCAGTCTCACCTGTTGTTCAGTCTCACCTGTTGTTCAGTCTCTCACCTGTTCAGTCTCACCTGTTGTTCAGTCTCTCCCCTGTTCAGTCTCACCTGTTGTTCAGTCTCTCACCTGTTCAGTCTCACCTGTTGTTCAGTCTCTCACCTGTTCAGTCTCACCTGTTGTTCAGTCTCTCACCTGTTCAGTCTCACCTGTTGTTCAGTCTCTCCCCTGTTCAGTCTCACCTGTTGTTCAGGCTCTCCCCTGTTCATTCTCACCTGTTGTTCAGTCTCTCACCTGTTCAGTCTCTCCCCTGTTCAGTCTCACCTGTTGTTCAGTCTCACCTGTTGTTCAGTCTCACCTGTTGTTCAGTCTCTCCCCTGTTCAGTCTCTCCCCTGTTCAGTCTCACCTGTTGTTCAGTCTCACCTGTTGTTCAGTCTCTCCCCTGTTCAGTCTCTCCCCTGTTCATTCTCACCTGTTGTTCAGTCTCACCTGTTGTTCAGTCTCTCCCCTGTTCAGTCTCACCTGTTGTTCAGTCTCTCCCCTGTTCAGTCTCACCTGTTGTTCAGTCTCTCCCCTGTTCAGTCTCTCCCCTGTTGTTCAGTCTCTCACCTGTTCAGTCTCTCCCCTGTTGTTCAGTCTCTCACCTATTCAGTCTCTCACCTGTTGTTCAGTCTCTCACCTGTTCAGTCTCTCACCTGTTGTTCAGTCTCTCACCTGTTCAGTCTCCCCTGTTGTTCAGTCTCTCACCTATTCAGTCTCTCACCTGTTGTTCAGTCTCTCCCCTGTTCAGTCTCACCTGTTGTTCAGTCTCACCTGTTGTTCAGTCTCTCCTGTTGTTCAGTCTCTCCCCTGTTCAGTCTCACCTGTTGTTCAGTCTCACCTGTTGTTCAGTCTCACCTGTTGTTCAGTCTCACCTGTTGTTCAGTCTCTCCGTTGTTCAGTCTCTCCCCTGTTCAGTCTCTCACCTGTTCAGTCTCACCTGTTGTTCAGTCTCTCACCTGTCCAGTCTCACCTGTTGTTCAGTCTCTCCCCTGTTCAGTCTCACCTGTTGTTCAGTCTCTCCCCTGTTCATTCTCACCTGTTGTTCAGTCTCTCACCTGTTGTTCAGTCTCTCCCCTGTTCAGTCTCACCTGTTGTTCAGTCTCTCCCCTGTTCAGTCTCACCTGTTGTTCAGTCTCTCCCCTCTTCAGTCTCTCCCCTGTTCATTCTCACCTGTTGTTCAGTCTCACCTGTTGTTCAGTCTCTCCCCTGTTCAGTCTCTCCCCTGTTCAGTCTCACCTGTTGTTCAGTCTCTCCCCTGTTCATTCTCACCTGTTGTTCAGTCTCTCACCTGTTGTTCAGTCTCTCCCCTGTTCAGTCTCACCTGTTGTTCAGTCTCACCTGTTGTTCAGTCTCACCTGTTGTTCAGTCTCTCCCCTGTTCATTCTCACCTGTTGTTCAGTCTCACCTGTTGTTCAGTCTCTCCCCTGTTCAGTCTCTCACCTGTTCAGTCTCTCACCTGTTGTTCAGTCTCTCACCTGTTCAGTCTCCCCTGTTGTTCAGTCTCTCACCTATTCAGTCTCTCACCTGTTGTTCAGTCTCTCCTGTTGTTCAGTCTCTCCCCTGTTCAGTCTCACCTGTTGTTCAGTCTCACCTGTTGTTCAGTCTCACCTGTTGTTCAGTCTCTCCGTTGTTCAGTCTCTCCCCTGTTCAGTCTCTCACCTGTTCAGTCTCACCTGTTGTTCAGTCTCTCACCTGTCCAGTCTCACCTGTTGTTCAGTCTCTCCCCTGTTCAGTCTCACCTGTTGTTCAGTCTCTCCCCTGTTCATTCTCACCTGTTGTTCAGTCTCTCACCTGTTGTTCAGTCTCTCCCTGTTCAGTCTCACCTGTTGTTCAGTCTCTCCCCTGTTCAGTCTCACC